GAAGGTTAGGGATACCTCTAATTAGTAGCAATGGCCACAGCTTAAGTAGTAGGGGCATTTAAAATAAGATTTGTCACAGTGATCACTTGTTTGAAGTAATTAGTTGGGAAATATGTCCTCTCTTGGTGTAGTCTGGTGTAGTGGTTACGTGTGCAGATTCTAATCTGGGAGAATGGGGTTTGATTCTCCACTCCTCCACTTGCACCTGGCTGGATGACCTTGGGCAAGCCATAGTTCTGCTAAGAGCTGTTCTTGAAAAAGAGCAGTTTCTGTCAAGAGCTCTCTCAGCCGCACCTCACAGGGTGTCTAAGCCGCTCTGAGACACCTTTGGGTAGTGAACGGCGGAGGATAAATCCAATCTCCTCCTCCTCCTCCTCTCTCTGGTAGCAATCACTAGAGAGAGACGCCCGGGATCCAGTAGAAACATAGCAGCATATTTTGAGCTTGAATGTTAATTGAGATCAGCGTCCTATCTGAATTTAATGTAAGTTACTACTAGGTTGATTAGTTGTAATTTGAAGTATCTTGTATGTGTTCATAACAAAGGTAATATTACTATGTTACAGATTCTTAAGACTTGTTGTCTAACATTTATGAAACAGAGAGCTTTGGCACCACTATGTAAGTAAGCACTAAGATTATTGTATTGTCTCTTGTTATTGGTGTAGCACATATTCTAAAAACTGTATTTTTGTACACTACAGAATATCTCCTGAAAAAGATCCATTTTTTGAAATGTTATGTAATCCGGAGACGACGTTGATTATGTACCTTGGTTCAAGGATTTTCTATTGAGTTGTGTATCATGTTGTAGTGCTTTAGATTGCAATACATAAACAGCATTCTTTATAAGTCTTATGACTGTTTGATTGTGGGTCAGACTATCACGACGGTTGGCGTTATACTTGTTTAACTGATTGGGTCGTATGTGTCCAGATTTTTTTGTAAACTGAAACAAGCATTGCTCAAAGCACCCCAGTGGCCTGGGACATCTTCCAATGGGACATTTGTACATCTCTCCTACAAAACAGGATGTGAAGGGCTGTCCCCCACAATGACTTCAGTCAGCTACATTTGCAAGAGAGATGAGGTATCTGTGGTCCACTCTTACCACTGCAAATGCCAGAAGAGGAAATATTTGGACACCCCTCCCTTCAAATAAAGGACAGGCTGTCTAAAGGGTTTAAAGAATTTCCCCCCTTATCTCAGCCTCCAAAATTCAGCATACCCAGAGAGTCCGAAATTCTCCTTTCTCCCTCCCTTGGAAAAACAGGATGAGTGAACTAGACCCTCAAATGATGAAGGGGCTCCCAGGAAGCCACTGTACAGACCTCAAGACACTGTCGCTATATGTCTAAAAAAGCATCCCCCCCCCCAGTCAAAGTTGGGGACATGGCATTTGTGTCCTTAAAAAAAGAAAGTCTCCACTTTTGCTTGTCGTTTGCCACAAAGATTGGCTGGGGCTGAATAAACAATACATGTGGGGCTACGGTTGTGCATAAATTGTCAAGCTGAGCCATTTGCAGGATAAGGAAAACACATTTTCCTAGCAACCTGGTATGCCTTTCATTGTCTTATACTAACTGTCAAAGAAAAGCAAAAAAACCCCAAAAACCCAACAAAAAAACACCCAGATGAGACCCATGAGCAACACAAATATGTTTTTCTCTGCTCTAATGTATTTCACAGCTGAGACATAAGCAATGTGTCACCTTTGAAATGGTAAAACGGTGCTTTTTACTGTCATTACTGGGATAATTTCCCTCTCTCTATCCTGACCCTCTTCACTTCTCTTTTTATGCTCACATTCAGTTCTGTGCGTGCGTGTGCATTTATTAATACTTCATGTTCCAGTTATGCTTTTCTCACTCTCTATATTTGAACCATTCCATGAATATAATGTATTTAAAATAACAGAGAGCTTCATAGGGTGAGACTTTCCATGGAAGAAATCATCAGGGCCTTTGCGGCTTTCGAAGCCATGACACCAGCCCTCCCATCATATCTATTTGCATGCCAAGCAACCAAGTGACCTCAAACTAAAGAAAGGCACAGCACTTGAAAGTCCTGGAAGCAAAATTCAAGGATCTCTGTGAGCATCGAAAACTGGATTGAACGGATTTGTTCTGCTAATAGGGGAACCTTCCTCAGGTCCCTTCCCAGATGCAAGGAGTTCTTCCACCAGTGGAAGGGACTCTTGTGTCAATGGAAGTCTTCCATTGCTGGGGGAAGGAGGAACAGATTTGTGGAATCCAACCCAGAGAGGTGAACAAACACAGGAGTTCCATGCTACTTGGGAAGCATATGACTGATGTATAGCAAAATATGTTTTAAGCTATACATTTAAGGCTAAAGCTCCACGCAGTTTGGAACTTGGAGTGACAGTGGCTTTCTGGGGTCTCGAATAGACAGAAGCCTTTCCTAACACTGGCTACCTGACATCCCCTAACTGGGAATGCCGGAAATCGAACTTGGGATCCACTGCATGTAAAAGCGTGTGTACCGCTGAGCCACTGCCCCCTTCCTCTTTACCACCAAGTTTAATTCCTTTCCCTAATACCAGACTGTCTATGGATCACTCCCTCCCTTTGCCTAGATTGACAGTGTAATCCTAAAAGCACTTTCCCGGGAGGCAGACCCATGGAATAGATCTGGGGAGGATTCAGAATAGACCTGGCTGGGAATAAGGGATCACTCCCTAAGGCTGATTTCGCACTAGAGCTGCCTCGCGGTTGCGCCGCCGTTTGCCCCGACACTATTGGTCAATTTCACACCCGAAGCCGCGGGGCTGCATTTGACCTGCGGCTTCGCCCGATTTCCTCCGCACTTTCGTGATCCTGTTTTTTGAGGATCACGAAACTGCGGGGGAAATCGGGAGAAGCCGCGATTCAAAATGCAGCCCCGCAGCTTCGGGTGGGAAATTGACCAATAGTGTCGGGGCAAACGGCGGCACAACCGCGAGGCAGCTCTAGTGCGACATCAGCCTGAGTCTCACCATATAGCACAGACAGGGCTGATGAGGTGACATCATGCACAGGTGCTCAGGTACCTCTTGACTTCCTTGATAGATTCAGGTGGGTGGCCATGTTAGTCTGAAGCGGCAGAACAAAGTTTGAGTCCAGGGGCTCCTTTAAGACCAACAAAGTTTTATTCTGGGTAGAAGCTTTGATACGCATGTCCACTTCTTCAAATATCTGAAGATATCTGAAGGAGTGTGCACGCTCACGAAAGCTTATACCCAGAATAAAACTTCATTGGTCTTAAAGGAGCCCCTGGACTCAAACTTTTCTCTCACTTGATAGGTTACTTGTGGAACCTTCTGCCACATGAGTCCGGAGAAAATGGGTCTGCCGACAGCAATGGAACACGCAAGAATGATGGATCCTCCATCTGCAGTATCTCAGAATGCCAGATAGAGATGACAAAACCACTGCGCAAATAATATTGCTAAAATTGGATTTATGAAATGTACAGGAATTGCGGCCGTCACTGTCTGCCAGCAACAATAACTAGTGGTGAAACCTCCACGGTCAGAGGCCGTATACCTCTGGATACAAGGTACAAAGGAAGATCAGCATCTTCATCCAAGTAATTAAGACCCTTATGAAATCCGGTATCGTAATAGTTACAAAATCAGACTAGAATCTGGGAGACTCCAGTTCCAATCCCCATTCTGGCATGGAGCTTGCTGGGTGACCTTGGGCCAGTCACACTCTCTCTCAGCCCAACCTACTTCACAGGGGTGTTGTGAGGGTAAAATAGGGAAGGGAAAGCCATGCATGCCTCCCCGATCTCCTCATAGGGAGCATGGGACAAAAATCCAGTAGACAGACAGATCCCCTTTAAGACTTGGCTCAGACTTCAGACTCAAATGAAGTGGGATTCGAACACAGGTCTGCCAAACTATCCAATAAATGATGTGCTAGACTCCTTAAAATCAGTCAATCAAACTAACACACAAACAAACAAAACACCCTGGTTTAACACCAAAAAAGTTGAGGAGAAATCTGTTGATGGCTATGAGTCATGATCAGTGTTCCCTCTAAGCCAAGTTAGTGTGAGCCTAGTTCACAGTTTTTTAGCCTCCGGCTCACACATTTCTGTCTCAGCTCAGGAAGGAGGGCTCCAGAGCAAACTAACTGATGCAGTATCCAAATCATTCCCTCACAACTTTAATGGCAGTAGCTCACAAAGTAGAATTTTCGCTCACAAGACTCCACAGCTGAGAGAGAGCACTGGTCACGATAGCTCAATTGAGCTGTCATGTTCAGGGGCAGTATACCTTCAGGGCTGCTGTCTTCATGGCCAGCCTGGCTTGCCCAGAAATATCTGCCTGGCCACTGGAAACAAGGCACTAAACCATTGGTGAGATCATGCGGCATCTCCATAGGGTTTTCAAGGCAAGGGACGTTCAGAGGTGGTCTGCCATCGCCTGCCCCTCTGCAGCGACCCTGGACTTCCTTGGTGGTCTCCCATCCAAGCACTGACCAGGGTCGACCCCGCTTAGCAACCAAAATTTGACCAGCTCAGGTTAGCCTGGACCACCCAGGTCAAGTCAACATCCCATAGAAAGCGCCAGGGCTTCTTTTTTTATTTTTCATTTTTGGAAAAAAAAAAGAGGTGCCGGAACGCTCAAGAGGGAAACGAAGTTTTCAATCTGTATACCGAAAACTCACAAACTTCCAAACATTTCTAAAAGAATTTGGCCGAAGAGGTTCCGGAACTCCGTTCCGAAACGTTCCCCCAGGAAAAAACCACTGGATAACTCTCAAAATTATCAGACGTGTTCACGACGGAGGAGAAGCCTACGCAGGGCTATTGGTTAAGGTGCTGAGAGACACAGGGGAGGTCTGCGAACTCCATCCCCTTCTTGGTAAGCTTGTGGCAGGACACCTTGCCGGAAGCAGAATACTGGGTCAGGTGGCACTTGGGGGGCTGCTCTGATGTCCATGCCGGTTCTCCTCGGTGTCCCACTTCCCACCGCCACGAGAAGCACTTACCCATCGCTGAGACCAGCACTGCGAGGAGAAGGAGGCTCCCTCGCCCCACGCTGCCTTGGGACCCCATGGCTGTGGGTTACTGTACAGCTCTGAGCCACATGGAGGGGCGGAACTGGCTGCAGAGATGGCGGGCTCCTTTCTCAAGGATGCCTGGAGGGTGGCACCCTTGGTTTAAGAACACGGCCAGCCCGGGCAGGATGCCGTCTCTGCAAAAACTCTGAGCCAATGGGAACCTGGCATTCAGTTTCGTGGGGGGCCCTCTTGAGCCCCAGGAGGAGGGGGGGGGAAAAGCAGAGAGGAACAAAAGTGAAAAGGGGGTATTTATGATCACGCCTTGCAAAAAAAAGGTGGTAAACACGCTCCGGCGGCATTGCCGGGTAAACAGCTGCCATTGTTCAGGCACATTCCCGGCTGGGGGCGTGGGTGGCATCGCGGCCTTTGGAAGGAATGCAAACCAGCCCGAAGGAGATCGAGCATCGCAGAGGGGCAAGGAGGCAGCGAAAGCGGCATCCTGTCTCGGTGTCCTGTATGACTAAGGATAGGAAGAGGGGCTGACGAGGCCGATCGGTCCAACTCCATGCGTCGAGCGAGGGGCTCCATGGCACAGCGTGTGCTTTGCACGCAGGAGAGTCAGGGCCGGCTCCAGCTTATTTTGCACCCTAGGCGAGGATCCCTTCTGCCCCCTCCCCTGCGCCCACCAATTTGCAAAAATAAATGCATTTTAGGAAGAATGAAAAACACAAATAATCAAGAAACTCCCAGAGTACGGGGCCGGGTGCAGTTTGGTGCCCCTAAGGGCCGTCCCACTCTAGGCGATCGCCTAGTTCGCCTAGTGAGTGAGCCGGCCCTGAGGAGAGTCCGAGGCTTGATCACTGGTCCAAAGGGTCTCACGTGCCGGGAAATGCTTTCCTCTGCCCGAGACCCTCCTGTGAACCTGGGAGAGCTGCTGCCAGTCGGAATCAATAATGCCGAGACAGATAGGGCCAACATCCTAATGTTCAATCAACTCTGACGTGGGAGGGATCAGTGGTGGAGCCCATTTTTTGCACTTAAAAGGACAAACACTTAAACAGGTGTTATTTGGCACCGCTTGGAGGCTGATAGGAAGCATTTTTCCCCCGTTTCCACACAGCATTGTGGTCCTACCATAAACCTCCTGGGTTTTTCCTGTCTTTTCTTCACTCCTTCCCAAACCTGATTTGTTATATTTTGGGAAGGATCGCAGGAAAGCTGGCCTGGTGGCTATGCGTTCAAGAAAGTGTGGGTTTTCTCACTAGGGCCATTTCCCTTTCCCCAGTCCCCACAGTGTCCAACCACCATGCCAGTGTTCCCTCTAAGCTGGGCTAGTGTGAGCTAGCTCACAGTTTTTTAGCCTCCAGCTCACACATTTTTGTCTTGGCTCAGGAAGGACGGCTCCAGAGCAAACTATTTTATTCAGCAGCCAAATTGCCAGTAGCAAACAAAGCAGAATTTTTGCTCACGAGACTCCACAGCTTAGAGGGGGCATTGCCCCATGCATGAACTTTTTGCCATCAAGTCACAGATGACTTATGGCAACCTCTTGGGGGTTTCAAGGCAGAAGAGGTTCAGCGGTGGTTTGCCATTGCCTGCCTTCACACCATGACTCTGCTATTCCTTGGATGTCTCCCGTCCAAGAACTAGCCGGGGCCGATCCTGCTTAGCTCCTGAGATCTGACGCGATCAGGCTAGTCTGGGCTATCCAGCTCAAGGCATGTGCAAACTAGGGAGATTTTTAAAGCTTCCCCCTCATTGGTCATTGAGATAGTGAGATACCAATATGACACAGCACATCGGTATGTCAATTACCAGTATGTCAATTACCAATACAAGAAGTGTGCAATAAGAGCCCCTAGTGGTGGTGGTGGGAAATGGCTTCCATAGGGAGAGTGTGGGGGAACTCACCATGGGGCAGCCCCATTGCTTCCACAGGAAAGTGATGCCATGCGGAAAAGGTCTAATTTTTTGAAAACTGCTGTTGAAGAATCATTTGCCACAGATTTTCCTTTGTGAATTATCCAGTCCAATGGTGAATGTCCAATATAATAGGGAGGTGGGATTGTCTAAGAGCAAAGAAGAGAAGGAGAGAAGGAGACTGGATTTATACCCTGCCCTTCACTACCCAAAGGAGCCTCAGAGCAGTTTACAATCTCCTTTCCCTTTCCCCTCCCCACAACAGACACCCTAGGAGGTAGGTGGAGCTGAGAGAGCTCTTTCGAGAACTGCTTGTGAGAGAACAGCTCTGAAAGAACTTGCGACTGACCCAAGGTCACACCAGCAGCTGCATGTGGTGGAGTGGGGAATCAAACCCTGTCCTCCTTATTTAGAGTCGGTGCTCCTAACCACTACACCAAAGTGGCTCCTGTGTCTCTGACCATGTGCAGAGCGTTTTTCCTTTGTGAACTGGATGCTCCACCCACCCTGATGCCATCTGAACCTGCGGCCAAATCTGGATTTGTGTCCATTGGCTCGCTAACCTCCCCTTGCACTCGATCCTTCTTGAATAGCTATACATTGTAAAAGTGGGGAAGGAAAGAAGCTGCAGAAATTAAAAATGAAAAGAAGAGAGCATTTCATCTTAGACAAATCTGCGTCACTTAATGTGCTCTTATGCTGCTGCTCAGCAGATAGTAATGCAAACTGGAGCTGGTGGGATGGGGAAACAAGCTGTCTGTCTTGCTAGGGCGGTGGATAATCTGCTGCAGTTTAAACCCCATTGAACTCTGTGAAGGTTACTTGCAGGGAAACGATCCGACTGCATTGGTGCAATCCTATCCTCAAAGTGCATGGCTGTCAGACACAGGCAGTGTGGTGCAGTGGTTAGAGCAGATGAGAGGGGCGACCCAGCTGATTCCCCTCCACTGCTTTGCCACAAGTTTGGCTCTCTTCAGTGAAGCAGTGCCCTCCCATGGGTAGGGCGAATAGGGGCAAGTGTCTTGGGCTCTACACTTTGGAAGTCCCCATCGACAGCACAGTGCCTCTAAGGCAGGGGTGTCAAACATGTGGCCTGGGGGCCGGATCAGGCCCCCGGAGGGCTTCCCTGTGGCTTAGAGTCTGGCCAGCTGACAACCAATCAAAAGCGATAGTCACAGCTTATCTCAGGGATGTCAAATCACAGCTTATCTCAGGGATGCCAGATCAAGCCCCCGAAGGGTTTCTATCAGGTCCACAGTGGAACTGGCTGTCTTCTGCTTCTTCTTCCAGTTCTGCTGCTGCTGCGTCATCATAGGTTTGCAGCTTAAAGATACACACCTGAACAGCATACTCAAGATTGCAACAGCACAGACATTTTGGTGCAATAATTCAGAGCAAGAGGTGTCAGTTATCAGACAGTGTTAAATAAACAAAATATTGCAAGAGTGCTAATGTCTTAAGCATGTTTTATTTTTGTTAAAAAAAAAACCCTTTGTGTGTGTGTCCTTTATAAATTTTATATCTCCGCTACCTGGCATTACATTTTATGACACACGTGGCCCGGCCCAACAAGGTCTCATTTATGTCAGATCCGGCCCCTATAACAAATGAGTTCGACACCCCTGCTCTAAGAAGTCTGGGCGGCAGAGGCAGCGCAGGGTGGGGCTGACCCTTGGGGCAGGCGTTGCCACGCACTCCCACCCCCCAATTCTACACCAATTTCGGCAGGGCTATCTCCTGGACAGCCACTGTGCCTTCCTCAAGCACTGCCTGCTCCGCCCCAAGCGTTGAGCTGGTTCCTGAGACAACGGAAACCTCCCAAAGTTGGGGAGGGAGATGGGATGAGCTTGTCACAGACCCTACAGTCTCCTAGGGACGGTCCTGGTTTTCGCTACAAATAGAGGTATTCAAGTGAGCAGCCAAGACCTAAAGATTGTACAATCGTTGCGCCAGTTGCAGCTGTCGTGTACAGCCACTGTGCTTATCTCGTACACGTTTGGGCTTTGCACAGAGATGTCACGGGCTGAATCGGTCTGTATCTCTTGCATTTCATGGTCTATTTCTCTTCCGTACCCTTCAGTGGAAGCACATCTGCCAAGTGTGGACATGCATTTGACCAAGCAGGCCCTCATCCACAGAAACTTCGGCCACGACAAATCCATTGGCTTTTATGGTGCCACAAGACTCTTTTGCCCTTCTGGGATCTGGGAAAGGTGGTTTAGTCTCTTGCCTGGAAAACTCTGTGAGGGGTCAACAAAAACCAGCTGTAATTTGACCACACTTTCCACCATGGTACCAGGCAAAGAATCCATTGGCTTTTATGATGCCACAAGACTCTTTTGCCCTTCCGGGATCTGGGAAAGGTGGTTTAGTACCATGCTCAGTGTGGACATGAGTGCAAAGCAAAATGCTTAAAACTGATTGAGCTGTACGGTTGTCTATGGCTGTGCCCCGGCTTGCGTGATCTCATCAGGTCTTGGAAGCTAAGCAGGGTCGGCCCTGGTTAGGATTTGGGTGGGAGACCGCCAAGGAAGTCCAGGGTGGCTATGCAGAAGGAGGCAATGGAAGACCACCTATGAACGTCTCTTGCCTGGAAAACTCTGTGAGAGGTAAACAAAAACCAGCTGTAATTTGACCACATTTTCCACCATGGTACCAGGCAAGAAGATCAAATCAGTCAATCCTAAAAGGAATCAACCCTGACTGTTCCCTGGAAGGCCAGATAATGAAACTGAAGCTCACATACTTTGGCCACCCAATGAGAAGGGAGCACTCACTGGAGAAGACCCTGATGCTGGGAAAGACTGAAGGTCAAAGAAGACGGGGACGGCAACACTATTTTGAATGTACTATAACCTCTTATGCGCATAGGTCCCCCGTTATTCCTAACAGTGATCCTGTACATGTACCCATGGCTTCAATAAATGTATAACCTTTTCGCAAGTGTGTACTCTGTTGATGCTGTGGTCAAATGGAGGCTCAAGCACGTGTGGGGGCTCAAGCACTTGTGGGGAGATATACAGAGAAGTGTAGATGCATCTTCACAGTGTTAGCAAAGAAGAGTGTAATTGGGAACCACGTGTGTGGAGATATACAAAGAAGTGTAGATGCATCTTCACAGTGTTAGCATTTTTAACATGGGATTAGAGTGGACAAACTCAGGAGATGCAGAGCTGCTCGACAGCAGTCCAGTAGCACTTCAGAGATCAATGATACCTGACGAAGGGAGCTCCCTCTCTTGGAAGCTCAGACCCCGAAAAAGGGGCTACCGGGCTCAAATCTTGCTCTTCTGCTGCAGGTGGCTACCCTCCGAAACTATCTTCTCGGGAGCTGCATTTAGCCAT